AAGTGTTCAGAGTTCATTCAAGACTCGAGTTTAAATATATAGGTTTGATTGAAACCTCATGCATATATGTTGCAGACAGTCAGTCAGTCAGTCATTCGTAACCTTTAAGCACTTTGAACTGGGGTTTGCCCACTAGCACATAGAGCAAGCATGCACTCTGCTCTGTCAGGTGGGCACAAGCCCCACTCGCAAGTAGGATAGAACTCACCTCAACTGGGCATGGAGCTAAAGCCGGTGATCCCAGTGCATGGAAAGTGATTTCTTACCTTCTCAAAAGACTACAAACTGACCTTTTCTGAATTCATTCATGCAATGTTGGCATCGCTGGCTGGGCCAACATTCAATGCCCTTCAGAAGATGATAGTGAGCTGCCGGATTGGACTACTGCAGTCCTTGAAATGCATTTGCACCAACAGTGCTGTTAAGAAGGGAGTTCCAGGATTTTGTCCCAGCAACAGTGAAGGGACAGCGACATACCAAAGTAACGCGCAGATGGTGGAGTTCTCATCTGCTACCCTCGTGCTTCTCATCAGTAGAGGTCCCAGGTTTGGAAGGAGTTGTCAAAGGAGCTTGAGTGATTTGCTGCAGTGCATCTTGGAGATGGCACACATCACTGCCAAGACAACACAGTTAATGTCCACTAATTAATTATATCAACGGGGATAGCATTCTAGAACAGTTCAGCTGGTCAATAAACTAACTGGCATCTTTCCTCTTCGGTCCACCAAAGCCAGGGTCCATTAATTAGAGTGCAGGTCACAAAAGCAATATTGGCAAGCTATTCAAGGGTCTGAGCAACTGCTTCGAGAGTCCGGCTCAAATTTCACATTCCACACTGCAGATTAAAAGACTTGGCATTGGAAGCACCAACAGAGGCCACAGGGAGAGACAGCTTCCAGAAATGTTGTGTAAAATATGCCCCTTCGGTATAATCTTGCATGTTCATCAAAATGAAATCGAAAACACCCCTTCACCTGCATGGAGGGTTGAGATATTCAGTTGTTTGTTAGCTCACCAAGCCGGTTGTTCCATTGTGTGCAAACGTTTCATTACCATTCTAGGCAACGTCATCAGTGTGATCTCTAATCAAAGTGTTGGTGTTCTGCTCCACTCCAAATTTATGAGATCCTCTGGTACGGCGGATCTTGTCATTTCCGGTTCTGTTCTTTTTTTGCAATGGTCTGTACACGGTGTCTATTTCTGTGTGTTTGTTAATGGAGTCCTGTGTTGGCTTCCACCAGGCTTCCAGAAATTCCCTTGCATGTCTGGTGTTCGCTTGTCCCAGTACAATCACTCTGTCCCAGTCAAACTGATGGCCCTCATTGTCTGTGTATTGAGACAAGTGAATATTAGTTGTGTCATTTTACAGGATACACTAACACCAGCTGGCAGTAAAAAAACACAACCAATATTCACTTGTCTCCATACACACAGACAATGAGGGCCATCAGTTTGACTGGGACAGAGCAACTGTACTGGGACAAGCAAACACCGGACATGCAAGGGAATTTCTGGAAGTCTGGTTCTCAACACAGGACTCCGTTAACAAACACATTGAAACAGACCCTGTATCCAGACCACTGCTAAAAAAGAGAACCGGAAATGACAAGACCATCACACTGGAGGATCATATAAATTTGGAGTGGAGAAGAACACCAATGCTTCGATTAGAGGTCGCACTGATGATGTTGCCTAGAATGGTAATGAAACATCTGCATACCATGGAACAACCAGCTTGGCGAGCTAACAAACAACTGCATCCACAACCCGAGATACAAATTTTTGCTAAGACCTTAAAAAGGGTCGAGATATTGTTGAGAAAATGATTTGCATTGAAATGCTGC